AGAAATCACGTTGGGAGTGCCATTCCCAAATTGGCTCATGTAATGCATGAGTCGAATTTGTCGAACTCTAATGCGAGTATCAAATGTCGAGTAAGAAAATATGAGTAACACCCTTAACTAGAGATCTCAAATTTGAATTCTGAGTATGGAAAGAATCATATTGGGAGTGTCGCATCCAAAAAATGACTCATGTAATGTATGAATTCGAATTAATCGCACTTCAGCTGGCAAACCAAAAAATGAAATTAACTTAACAATACCCTTAATCAAAGATCTCGAATTTGAATTTTGAGTATGAAAAAAATCATTTTGGGAGCGTCACCTTAAATGACTCATGCAATGCGTGAATCCAGATTAATCGGACTTTAATGTGAGTACTGAATGTGGGGTGAGAAAACATGAACAACACCCTTAATTAGAAATCTCAGACTTAAGTTATGAGTATGAAAAAAATCATATTGGGAGTATCTCCCTAAAAAATAACTCGTATAATACATGAATTTAAACTAATTGGATTTCATCTAACAAACCAAATAAAATTTCTTCTAGTAAAATTTCTTCTTTTTATTTTCATTATTATGGATTAATTAGTTATCAGATACTTTTTGATATTGAGTCCACTGATTGTCAATTTTTCAGACAATTTGTCTTACATTCTTCTAATTACTATTTTTTTTTCTTTCATATTTTTAACTCTATATATATTTGGTTTTTCGTAATTGTATGAAAGAACTTATTTATTTTTAAAAATTGTTTTGTAATATTTAGTATTCAAAATTTACTAGTCCGACTAATTTAAATTCATATTGAATATATTCGTTAAGGACAAAAATTTTAATTTTCAAGGCTTTAATCGGAGCATCTCTAATTATGACACCAATCATGCCATCTCCTCTGTGATGTAAGAAAAAAACACTTGATCATATTTCATAAATAATTACCAAAAACGATTAACAGAAGTACCAAAAATTTTATTATCCCTAAATTACTTGACATATGCTATATAGTATCTTGAAAATCTTATCCACTTACAATAATTAATATAATAGTGATTGCTTAAGAACCTTGAGAATTAGCTTCTAAATTAGGCACACATTGCTTCTTTAACAATTAATCATTTACCAGAGTTACCTTTAAATGGTAAAAAGATCAAATTTTAGAAACATAAATAATCAAAATCTCCACCAATTTGTCCTTTTTATTATATTATCATTGAGAATCTAAAAAATACATGTATCATGTTAATTTGTGTGATACCTTATAAAACTCTTCATTTTCTCTTCATTCAAATGTGAAATTCGCTTAATGTATTATAAACATCTTCTTAAGATATTTGCCAACGTAAAAATTAACTAATTGTTATTCTCTTTGATCCGCCGTTTGTCATGAACGTCAAACACATCACTTTGTAAATTACTAGCAACTTTAATTATTTTTTAAAAAAAAATTGACAAAGGAAGACTTATAATTTTGTGCTCTTTAATTATAAATAAAATGAAATTAATTAATTAAAAAATATTCCAATTATACCAAGCTTCCATTATCCCTTCATGTGGTGGAAAGGCATGAACCGCAACACAGAAAAAATATGGACCAAGTCACATGCTACGTCAAAAACCATTTTTTCTTAAAACAACAACAACAACAACAACAACAATAATAATAATAATAATAATAATAATAATAATAATAATAATAATAATAATAATAATATATTGATAGAATATATTAGTAGCATATATAATACCAAAATAAAAATAAAAATAACACTTTTGCTCTGTTAGTTTGATTTGAGCTCTTGGGATATCCGACATCTCAGATATTCATCGGTCTTTTTACAAAATTATTGAGTTATCAATAAGTTATCTAAGGTTAAGTTTATATTATTACTTAAAATTTGACGATAATATCATTTTTAAACCATCTAAATTTAACCTGCATTTTTTTTTACTAATTGAAGATAGAAGGACAAGTAATTTAATTCTAATAATTAACGAACCAAGATTAGAATTTAAATATATATATATATGACAAAAGCTATAATATTTAAAGATGAAATGGCTTTTATACTGCGTTTGGAATAAGATAAGAATTTTATTTATATAACATGAAAACTCACTTATTTATCTCAACTTTTTGAATAAAAAAATGTGAAGAAAGTGGAAATGTGTGTTGGACAGATTGGATTCCTTGTTTGCCTATTCATCTAAAAAAGGAATAAAAACAGGTAGACTTAGATTTAATCAAAATACACACAAAAAGAATATTATAGTTATATTTATATTATATATATGAGTACTAATTATTTTTATATATATATTTTTTAAGAAAACTCAAAATGACAACTAATTTACAGTAACTTACCAACCGTCCCTTCATTTTAGTGACAACTTTTTTTTTTTTTTTTTTTAAAAAAATAAACAAATAAATAAATTCTGAGTATTGTTAAGACTTTCTAACCTTACAAGTCAACAACTATTTTAGGCAATTGGTTGTTATCGTCGAGTTGTGTGGTGGTATCGTAAATACTCTTCTAAAATTATCTTTAATAATGAATAATCATATTGTTTACGTTCCAAAAAAATTTAATAAAAGTTTACTTATTTTTTAAATATATCATATACTAGAAGTATTTGGCCGAATTGCCCTCGAAAGATGTGACTTAAGCCTAATGATTAATAAAGTGATTGAGAATAATAAGATCTTAAGTTTAATTGCGTTCTAGCTTTGACGATCAGGGTTATCTGATACATATTGGCATAGAAGATTACAAACATTCCGTAAAATTAATTGAAATACGTGTAGACACTTGAACACTACCCCTCACATTTTCAGTTGCTAGATAATTATTGGGAAAAAGTATTTACAAAATACTCGAGGAAAAAAGAAGAATTACTGGAAGCAAACATGTGGAGAATTAAAGATGGTTAAATTTTAAGGTTCTTAAAATAGTTTTTTTCCTTTCTATTAAATTAAGAAAATTGAGATGTCATTAAAGATTATCGTGGTGGAATGTTAAGTATATTTTTATTGTTAATTGAAAGCTTGAATATTTCATTTGGAAATGAAATTGATTTTAGTAAAAATGTTGTATCTCTTACGTAAGATTTTTTTTAATGTAAATCTAAATTAGGAGGAGATTAAAGTTGTACAGTAATTTCTTAGATAATGTCTTGGTGACCAAGAATGTACCGCAATTTACGCACTTTGTTTTTCTTTTTCTTTTTTTCTTCCCTTTTATAGGGTTAGAGAATTAATTATTGTTGTGCCGAAGAAAGAATTTTGGTTATTTGCCTTTTTTAAATTCTTTTTGAGCTATATTACTTATTAGAACTGATTTTTGTTAATTTATTTTTGAAGCATTTGTTTAAAATATCCATTACAATAATACTAAAAATCGTGATCACAATTATACAATCCGACCAAATTATACTAACATAAAAAAATAGTATAATGTATATAATATTTTGTGTTAACATAGAATTTATAAAAGAATTGCATCTCAAAAAGTGTAATATATACAATCTATCATAATATAAACATCAACGATTTATTTTACAACAAAAATTCGTAGCTTAACAATCACATGAGAAATATACAACGTAATTTAATAATAAATTAACATAAAAATTCATTTTTAGAGGGTATAAAAAAACATAACAACTTTGATATTTGTGCTTTATACTTTCGAAAACAACTTGGAAATATTTCATAAAATATCTTCCTAAAAAACTATATAATATGTTTGTGCTTCCATTAAATTTTTTATCTTTAATTAGGACGAATTAATTATGATGATATGAATATAATTCTTTCACTTTTAATCATAAAATTTGAGTTTAAACTTACATATAAAATATTTTAATAAAAAAATATTAAGTCTTATATGACACAAATCCAAATTAAGGCGGAGAAATTTGCCAACCGTTGATCAATGCATCATTATATGGCTTTTGGACACAATTATATTTACTGAATGAATGATTATATCACATGCAAAAGCTAATAATATATATCACTCACTACAAACATTTCATAAAAATCATTTATCTTTCCACAAGCTGCTTTGAGAATTTAAAGTTTAAGTCAAAATCTCCTTTTAGATCATAATCTCACTAGTCGAGACTCGAGAGTCTATCAAAAAATAATATTTTTATATTTAAAGTTAAAAATAAAGTTTGCATATATTTACTACTCGAATATGTATTATATGTATTTATCAAAATTAGTATAAATACATATTCTTTATAGTTTTTATTATTTTATATATTTCTATTTCATAGTTTAAGACATCATGCTCGTTTTCTTTTTGTTGATTGAACTAAACCTATAAGATAGAGTTCGAATCCAATATGTGACGTACACTTAATCTGCACATCACGTGTTGTGATTTTATCATTAAATCAAAGCTCTACGACCTATTACTATTTGCCATTAACATAGTTAGGTATTTTGATTCAACGTGCTTTCATATAGAGAAAAAAAAACGCTTATTATACAATATTATTTCATTAATTATTTCATTCCATTATCATCAATAATCAATATTAACTTGTGACACTATTGAGTGGAGGAGTGTCTTGCGATCAAGAAATTCCTAATTTTCTATTTTGGAGTCGCGAATATTACATCTTTTTATGATAAACAATCCAATTTGCTAGTTGCTTATTATGATTGGTAACAAATAAAAATTTTTCTTAATTAATATTATAATATGGTTGATAAAAACAATCATCAAAATAATGATCATATTAAATTTAGCTAATGTATAATCAAAATACAAAATCCACCATTTTACAATATAGAATTGGTAGGTAAGTTTGGTACCTCTAGTTACTAGTAGGAGCTCACATATATCTCTCAAATCGAGTTACGCGAAAACTGATCCGGATAAAATATTTGGTAGGTAAGTTGTATTTTGCATCCTTGTTGGTTCCATCTTCCCTCCAAGAACCTAAAACCCTTAAAACCTTGCCCCCTTTTCTCATCTCATATACTCTTATCATCATTTGGACTCAATTTCCCATGAAATCATACCTACAAATAGTCTCTATGTGATTAAATTTTGAAGAATTTCTGCCCAAAAAGCCCAAAAGAATCAATTTTTATGTTACCATTATCAAGAATGAAGTCACTCCTTTCCCCAGTACTTTCAAGACCTACCATGTTTGTATGCAGGAGATATGGGGTTCTTAGTACTTTCAAGAACCTTAATTCTGCTCAAACAATGAACCCCATGAGTAAAGTTTCTTCCTTTAGGTGTTCTACTGTGCAAAACCATAATCAAATTCGGGTCTTGAATAGTGAGGCATCGGGTTCGAGTTCTGGTTCTGGTGAGGTTCATGTGATTGTGGGTCCTATGTTTGCTGGTAAAACTACTACTCTTTTGAAGAGGATTAAGTCTGAAAGAAGCAATGGCAGGTTAGTTTTCTCAATCTGTTTCTCATTTGGTTGTGTAATGAAGTGTTGTGCATATTTAAAGTTCAAATCTTTTTAAACTATTCACCTGTTGGAGTAGAAATATTTTCTGGTAGTTTCTTGTTCTTCGATTTTGGTTTTCACCTGTGTTTGTTTGTGCTTAGTTATCGCTTTATTTCATTGTTGCTGCTGTTCTTTCTTCGGTATGTTGTGTACTGTTTTCCATTTCACATTATTTCGATGCTGTTACTGTTCTTTTAAGCCAAAGGTCTATCGTGAACAACTTGGGGGTAGGGGTAAGGTCAGCGTACACTCTACCTTACCCATACTCCGCTTGTGGGATTTACACGGGGTATGATGTTGGAGTAGAAAGTGTGCCTCAGCTGTTATTTTGGGCCATCCTATAAATAAATCGGTATCTGTTTGGTTTCCTCTCATGAGGATTATCTACTTTGCTACTTACTTTATAGTGTCTTATACCTCACACAAGCTTTGTAGAACTTATATAAGTAGGACTTTTGGCTAAATCTCAAGACTTTGATGCTCTATATAGACCTTGAAATGAAACATGGAAGATGATGCATTGAGTCCAATGATTGTAAGTGTTTTTTTCTTGCCTCAGAATTTGTTTTGGTCAATAAGCTTAATAGTGGCAGGGAGAGAATGGTACGGTATTCAGTAACATAACAAATCATCTTTTCAGCAGCGTGTTGCCATATTGTGCTATTTTTATCGAAGACCAACTTTCTGGGTGATGGTTTATTTGGTTGAATATAGCTGTAAAGATATCTTTCATGAGTTTAAGAACGTGGTTGGGCAAGAGTTCAACGTGAGAGTCCCGACTTAGTCATTTATATCATCTCCAGTGAGGGTGCTCTTTTCTTAGTTCGATTTCACAATTGGCGTTCAAATAAGCAACTTGTTGGTACTTGTTAAAAGAAAAACCAAGTTGTTGCAGCACTAAGTTCAATTGCTCCAAGGCACCAAGTGTCCTTTTTGCTATTTAGACTTGGTTTCTCTGCAGTTCTAATTGTTAAAAGTTTAGGAATTTTTCTTGTTACTCAACCTTTCATCTTTCTCATTGAATGATTGTGCCTTTCTTCTGAATTCTGTTGTTCTTGAATCGGTTTTTTTCTGTTTCCTTTCCTTTCTTCCCTGGGGTGTTGAAATCTCCATGCTCTTTGGCTTGCTCATGTAGAGGAAGTAAAAGTTGGACCATGTTATTCTGATGACATTTGAATTGAAATCATGATTGGTAATATTCCCAGTTTTCAGGCCAATGGCGTAAAGAATTCCCTCTATTTGGATGAGACAATAAAAGGTCTCTGTTTCTCAGGAAGGGTGGCTGAAGCAGTTGGAATATTGTGCCGCTCTGGTGTACAGGTGGAGGCAGAAACTTATTCCCTTGTTTTGCAAGAGTGCATTTTCCGCCAAGCGTATAAGAAAGGGAAAAGAGTCCATTGGCAAATGATTACTGTCGGCTTTGTTCCAAATGAATATCTGACTGTTAAGTTGTTAATTTTGTATGCAAAAGCAGGAGACTTGGATACATCACACATTATATTTGATAAGTTACAATTTAAAAGCTTGGTTTCGTGGAACGCTATGATTGCTGGGCATGTGCAGAAGGGCATGGAGGAAGTAGGCCTGAGTCTGTACCATGATATGAAACAGAGAGATGTACTTCCAGATCAGTATACCTTTTCATCAGTCTTTAGAGCCTGTGCCTCTTTAGCTGTCCTGGAGCAGGGCAAGCAAGCACATGCTTTGTTGATTAAAAGCCAAATTAGTGGAAATATTGTAGTTAATAGTGCGCTTATGGACATGTATTTCAAGTGTAGTTCTCCATCTGATGGCTATCTCGTGTTTAGTAAGTCCTTGGAAAGGAATGTGATAACATGGACTGCTCTGATATCAGGGTATGGACAAAATGGAAGAATAAAAGATGTTCTGGAATCATTTCATAGGATGATAGATGAAGGATATAGGCCAAACCATGTTACGTTTCTTGCAGTTCTTTCTGCTTGTAGCCATGGAGGTCTGGTAGATAGAGGTAAGGAGTACTTTTCATCTATGATGAGAGATTATGGGCTTCAACCGAGAGGAAAGCACTATGCAGCTATTGTGGATCTTCTAGGCCGTGCTGGAAGATTACAAGAGGCTCATGAGTTTGTCAAAAACTCACGTTGTGAGGAGCACCCAGTACTATGGGGAGCTTTACTTGGGGCTTGTAAGATTCATGGTGATATCGAGATGGTAAAACTTGCTGCTAGAAATTTCTTCGACTTGGAGCCTGAGAATGCAGGCAAATATGTTGTCTTGTCTAATGCTTATGCTTCTTTTGGTTTGTGGAACAATGTTGCGGAGATAAGGAGACTGATGAAAGACTCGGGGGTGAAAAAGGAGCCTGGTTATAGTATGATTGAGGTTCAAAGACAAGCACATTTCTTCTTTATGGAACATAATGCTCATGAACAGACTGCTGAGATATATAAATTGGTCAAAGATATGGCAGGTATCTTAAAAGACGCTGGCGATGTTCAAGATATACTGAGTTAAAGAGAAAGGACAAACAACAATATAGGATGAACATTTGATTGAATCCTCAGCCACTTAGCTGCAAAGAGTCTTATTAAACGGGCAATTTGCTGTATCTCGAAAAGTGCCATGCATGTCACACTGTATGCTCGTATCCTTTTAAGCTATAAAAGTGGAAACACTAACATTCAAACATAGAAAGAGAAACAGGCTTCTGCCTTTGTGCTACAAGTCGGGAATGCACTTTCCAGACACAAGCCATGCTTTCCTGGAATTTGTGATCCTTTGACAGAAATCTTCTGTGGAGATGCCATTTGCCTTTGAATGCAAAAATTGGATTGTGATCTCCCCACAGTTTCAACTGTTAGTTTGGCAAGCAGGGGCTTGCTATTTGCCTCTATGAGGAACATGTATGTGAACAAACAGATAAATTGCCTTATTACCAAGTAATGTGATGGCCTCGGTTTATTGGATGTGATTCTTAATAAAATAAGTTTACCATTGAAAATATACTCTTAAGGTCATCTTTTACTATATTGCAGTAACAGCGGAGTTGAGTAGTTTCCAATAAAATGCTTAAAAAGCCATACCACATCATAATTTGAATGGACAGAACCTATAGCAAATGAGTTTATTTCTTCTACGATACTATGTACTAACCAATGCTGCCACGGATTGATGAATTTTGGGCATTCTAGGAAATCTATTTGTATTTATTATCTTATGCTATATTGCTATGTCTGGTGGTTAAGCAGATCATTCTATGCTGTTGCCAAAATACATTTAGGCAATTCATTTGTAAGTGTTGATAGTGTTTGAAAAGATTTTAGAATCTTTACCAACCTATGAATGTTACTCTGGAACTGACATAATTCCATCTACCTGGCACATCAAGAGCTGCAATTGTGTGAACAAGCATAAAAAAGTGGGTGGAAATTTATGTCTTCATATAGTGGAAATATTAATAACTACTTGTCGGATAAATCAGGATAAACAAGTCCTTTAACGGTTTACTTATTTGTGTTAGACTATGCAATCCTTATTTTAGTTGCAGTTGCAGTTTGCATGGCCTCTATCTTCACTGCATACTTTTGTTGTCCTTTCTAATGCATCCTGTTGAACACGAAAATAAACTTGAGCCTTCAGTTCCTTCCCAGTTGAACTGCAGTTTGTGTACGGATCAATATCGTGTAGCCAGCCGCGCAGAGAAGTAAAACCAGCATATTCTGTTTCCTTTTGTTCAATTGATGGTATCATTCCGAAGGAGATTGGTCCTATCTTGTGTGGATAACCATATAATACATTTTTTTCTGACTTCTGAGATTGTTCCTATGATTCTTTACATCAAAATTTACTAAGTTACTAATTACCTTGAAGATATCAAAAGTTTGATAATATAATTATGGACATATAATTTGGATTCACAAAGATGCTAACTTCTGAGTTTTGAAGTGCTGCTTGAACTTTGATGATCTTGATAGATATTTAAGGCTTCCTGATGTTCTCATATCATTGTCTGATTTAGCTTTTGTGCTATTTCCCCTCTCTGCAGAAGTGTAGCAATTTTAAAGTCAGACAAGGATACAAGATATGGGTTGGATTCCATTGTGACACATGATGGAGACAGATTACCATGCTGGCCTTTAGCTAATCTATCATCATTCAAACAGAGATGTGGTCCTGAAGCATACAGTAAGGTAACACTTCAATGGGAAGCTATTGACATGTGAATATATTAGACGACTGTCATAGGACCTTCTCCACACATGGTCAGGGTGCTAGCAGCCTAGCTGTGTTAGCAACAGAAAGTATGCTTCAAATATAGGGCAAAAAAGTCTATTTTTGAGTGCGTTCTTCTGAAACTTTTAAATTTGACGGATTAAATTTTAATTCTTGAGAAGTTAGGGGATCCACCCGTCCAAATCTACCCCTAGTTGTGAGGGGAAATGATATAATCATGAAGCACTCTTTTGTAAGTTGGTCACTGAACTTTGTTTGCTAGTATGCACTCTTTTGTAAGTTGGTCACTAAACTTTCTTAGCTAGTATGCACTCTTTTGTAAGTTTGTTACTGAACTTTCTTTGCTAGTATGTAACAATACTGTATTATGACTTTCATCATTACTCATTTTTCTTTCTATATGTGACTACCTGTTTTTGTGACTGTTACGTGGTTTCAGTTAGAGGTCATTGGCATTGACGAAGCTCAGTTTTTTGAGGATCTATATGATTTCTGCAAGGAAGTTGCTGATCATGATGGCAAGATTGTGATAGTTGCTGGGTTAGATGGTGACTATCTAAGGTACTACTTCCGTTTAGTCTCCGTGCGCTCTAATGTACTAATAATTGATACCTTTTTTGTGAGAAAGAGATAGTCTGCTTATTCTTCCGAATATTTCTTATGTACTGAATGTGATTCTCTGTTGCAAAAACTTGTGTACTGATCTGTATTGGATCATATTTTGGATTTTACAGAAGGAGCTTTGGTTCAGTCCTTGACGTTATACCAATTGCTGATTCCGTGACCAAACTTACTGCCCGATGTGAACTTTGTGGTGAACGTGCTTCTTTCACCTTGAGGAAGACAGAGGAGACGAGAACGGAGTTGATTGCAGGAGCAGAAGTATATATGCCCGTCTGCCGCAAGCATTATGTGAGTGGACAAGTAGTCAAAGAGGCTGCTAGAAGTGTTCTGGAGTCTCAGAAAGTTGAATGCAGCTCTATTTTGTAATGTCTCAGCTCTAAGTACATAGGCCATTGTCTTAGAAATATTAACCAACTATTGTACTTCCAAGTTCCAAGTCTGTCAACTGGCCAAGCCTTTCTGCCGGTGGAAGGTCTCTAGTAGAATTATCGAGGTGCGAGCAAGTTGGCTCGAACACCATAGTTGTAAAAGAAAAATACTATTGTACTTTCAAGTCATATTTTGGGGCTAGTTGCTTCCTCAGAGTGATGAAGATGAAATGGTGTTAGTCTATGATTATTCTAGCATATTTGATTTCCTTAAGTAATGAATACACTTCTGAATCCTAAGGAATAAAATTCTTGCCTCAAACACAAACTATAGAAATATCCCAAATGTAAAAAAACAAAGATGTCTTGAATCTACAAAGTACAAAGTGTCTCAAGTAACAAGATAGTTGATCGTTGAGATCACATGTTTCCCAGGTTTGGTGTCAACAAGATCCGAGCTATGTGCCTTTAAAACTTACTAGATCTTGATGGCGCACTTCCTGTCCATGCACCTGTCAATATAGACACTGATAAATCGTTAACAATATTTTGCTATAGCAGCCAAAAAATATCCCCACAAACAACGTTGTTATAGAGAGGTTATTAAAGGACATGATACCTTTGTGTATTGCAACGCTTTCCGAATCACATAACTGCCATAAAAATGTTTGGCAAGTCGAGCTATTGCTTTTGCATCCGTTAGAAGAACATCAACTACTGAAATTGTTTCAACTTTTGATGACTCTAAGCATTTTCCAAAAACACGGTTACCAGTTCTTTTGAAGGCTAGTTGAATGTACTCCTTCTCAAGTTGAAGGCACACCTTATTTGAAATCTCTATGTCCCCGAGTTTAAGAATATGCTGCACAACATAGTTCCTAACAAGAACATACACATATTCTTAAACATAAACTAGAAACCAGAAGTCAACCAACAATTGCAAAAAAAAGAAGAAGAGGAAAGCAATAAAACATTGACCTCTACTATCTTAGACATTTTTTTTGGAAGTATTTTGATAGTTGGAATCCACATAAGTCCATACTGGACCTTAGTTAAAGTCAAAGTGCAAATACGAGATGATTGGCAATAGATGGTGGAAACTGGTATATGTTATTACTTACCGCGAAGGATCATGAGCAAAGTAAGCTGACTGGTTTACAATTCGTTCCAGTAGTTCCTTTCTGAGAGGGTTAGTGATATGATCAATGCAAACATCCAAAGATATACAACATCCATTCACATTTGTAGCCAAATCTCTGAAATAACTAATAACCCGATACAGAACCTGAAAATCATTTAGCAAATTCAATAAGTGAGCATTCACTATACCTTATTGCTAAAAGATATGAAAAACAACCAAAATTTGTAATAATTTTACCTCATTCTGCTTCTCATTTAACACACGGAAACACTTTTCAACAATGGGTCTTTCTACTCGATGAGTCATCAGTGCAAATAACTTCAAAGACACAATTTTGGAGCACATTTTGGCCAATGATATGATGGCTTCTCTTTTAGGCTTACAATTAGCATTTCAATCGACATTGAACTGTCAAATCAAAAGATAAAAAAAATGCTAAGTCAACATTCAGAAGGATAAAAAGTTTTCAAGTACTTAAAATAAAACTCTACTCACCCATTCTTTGTAAAAGCTGTTTGTAGAAACAAATCCATATGAAACTGAAATGTACTGAGAATTAGGTGCAACTGTTGGTTGTTGCAGAACTCAACAAGTTTTACAAAGAGAGCATGTCCAGATTCACATATCATCACTTCATAAATAGAACTAAGAACCTCAAGAATCTTTTGCATGTGGTCATAGTTATTCAGCTCAAGAATCTTTTGCAATAATCGTGAGTCTTTGGGATTTCTAGCCATTTTGACTACACTCTGATTCGACAAGTAACTCAAACACTCCCTACTCCAATTGTTATGATCTAATGGAGGCCTATTGTAATGTGCAGAACCTTGAACTCCAATGCAGCTGTTACTCAACATTTTGTTGCTCAAATTTTGGCCAAGATTAGATTGATTAATTGGATGATATGTTGAGGAAGATCCATGTTCATAATTGACACTTTTTCTCATATCTGCATGATCCGATATGCAAAAAATTCCAAGAAAACCAAGAAATCTTGAATATATTGGCAAGAAAGTACTAATTGAAACAAAAATAACATAAAGTTATGAACTTTATACATTACTCGAACTCTCCAAAAATACTTTTGGAGGAGAATCCGACCCGTCACACATGAACAACATAGCTTTATACTTAAATAAATCTTGAACATATTGGCAAGAAATACTAATTCAATTAAAAAATAACATAAAGTTGTAAACTTTATACTTAAAGACGTCAATCTTGAAGCAAGAAAGTACTAATTGAAACAAAAATAACATAAAGTTATGAACTTTATACATTACTCGAACACTCCAAAAATACTTTTGGAAGAGAATCCGACCAATCACACATTTTTGAAGAGTCGGAACAACATAGCTTTATACTTAAAGAAATCTTGAGCATATTGGCAAGAAATACTAATTCAATGAAAAATTAACATAAAGTTGTAAACTTTATACGTAAAGACGTCAATCTTGAAACAAGAAAGTACTAATTGAAACAAAAATAACATAAAGTTATCTCTATGTCCCTGAGTTTATAAGAATATGTTGCACAACATAGTTCCTAACAAGAACACACACATATTCTTAAACATAAACCAGAAACCAGAAACCAACCAACAATAGCAAAAAAGAAGAAGAGGAAAGCAATAAAATATTGACCTCTACTATCTTAAAAAGTTGGACATTTTTTCTGGAAGTATTTTGATAGCTAGAATCTACACAAGTCCATTCCGGACCTTAGTTAAAGTCAAAGGGCAAATACGAGATGATTTGCAATGGAGGATGGAAACTATATGCTATTACTTACCCCATGATCACGGGCAAAGTAACCTGACTGGTTTATAATTTTTTCAAGTAGTTCCTTTCTGAGAAGGTTATTGATATATATGATAGATGCAAATATCTAAAGATATACATCCATTTTCATAATTTGTAGCCAAATGTCATGAGAGGGGGAAGAAACTAGAGTTGTGGAGAGGTTTGCATAAGACTCTAGAATCCCTAGAATACCTTAGAATATATCTTAGAAGACTTTAAAGATTTCTAGAAGAGAGACTCAGGGTGTTTGGATTGACTTCAAAGTTGGTCAAACCTACTTTTAAGTCAATTTTTAATTTTTGGAAATGTTTGACAAATATAAAAAATAACTTAAAATAAATCAAAACGACTTAAAATAAGTCAAAAATCAAAAGTAGATCTCCCATGCTTTTTATTTTTTGACTTAAAAGTCATTTCAGATTGACTTTTAATTTTTAATTTTGACTTAAAAGTCATTTCAGTTTGACTTTTTATTTTTGACTTTAAAGCTACTTTTTTTAAGTCAATCCAAACGTGCTCTAAATTGTAAATAAGTAGGGACTTGTATAGATTTTTTTTTCCTTACACTTTGACCCCTAGGTGTGCAGTATAAATAGATGGGACAACCATTTGTAACTCAACCAAGCAAGAACCAAGCAAGTTGTAAAGCAATGACTTTCTTGTGCTGCAAGGAGCGTTAGTAGAAGCTAAATCCGTGACAATGTGGTATACGAGGGAGAGATCAACGCTGCTAGCACCACCAATGTCAGGCCGGATGGTGGAAAGAAGCACAACAATGCTCGATCCTACACCAAGCGAAGCGCTAACATCTCACTAACCAACTTTGACCACTAAAGAAAGTAACGATGAACGTGATGAGGAGCCCATTGATGTCACGCCCAAGTAGAGTGGATTGCGAGGGTTGAAAGAAAATTTCATAATGTTGTGAACTTTATACTTTCTTGCATTGTTGAGTTTGTAATAATAAGCCCAAATATTTGAAGAACTTGTTGATGGCCATTGAAATGTTGATGAAAATTTTAAATGAGTAGTTTCATCTTAAATTTTCTTCCAAATTAAAATCTTGAAAATAAAGAAGAAAATCTTCATCATCCCTTGGAGATTTCTTGTTTTAATTCTCTATCACAAAGAGAGAAAATGAAAACTTTTTTTTTATCAAGTGCTATTGAACTTGTTTTGGCTTTATAGGAAGTACTATAAATGTATTTTCTAAAGTTTAAGAGTGGAATTGAAAATTTTCCACCTACCTTAATTATTTATTGAGGAATAATATATTTTACATTTTTTTGTTATTTTTATTACTAATATTTTCCTAAAATGGAAACATTGGAAATTTGTAATCAATTCGAGGTAAAATAAAACTTTTTACTTGTTGGAAATTAAATTTTTGAGGAACTATATTATTAACATTAATTATGATACAAGAATTTAAATTTATACCAAGCAAAAAATTTATTTATCTCAATGTAATAAAAATTAAAGACAAACACAAAATACAAATAAAAATGCAGATAAATCTTTTGTATCAAATCGTATCTATCCGGCTTAAAAAAAGAAAATTGTGAGCACATTTAAACAATACAACACAAACAGATTTTGCCCGTATAGTAAATTTGCAAAATAAAATTTACCAAACTATATAAAATTAGGTATAACAATATACCTAATTTTATGCATATTAAAGAGACTGTTTCTAATAAAATCTCTTCTAAAAAAAGTGAAATAATTTTTTTCTATTTGTTTCAATCGTATATAACTAGTATTTTATTTAGGAAAATTTAAAACAATTTGACACAATTTTAATTATATTTTAGTAAATTCAAATTTTAAATAAATGTTAAAAAGAAATCACAATCAAACAAGGTGACTTTGTTTGTACGTAATGTAGTAGGAGTTGCACCTATAAATACCCAAATCTTCAATTTTTGCGGGTAAAGTTCGTTCCTTGGAAACCCTAACAATGGCGAAACCTCCTCCTCATGCCCCTTGTCCAGATTGCAATGGAGGAGATCCTCCTTGTCATCCTTGTTCAGATTGCGGTGGATGTATTCACAATCAATTCTTGGAATCTGAATTAGAAAAATGGTATCAGAATCGAGATTTGGAAGATGAACTACATGCTCGTGACATTACAATAAAAGATCTTAGGTTCACAACAGAAATGCTTCGGCTTCAGAGGTACTGTGATTAATTTTTGTGAATTCCTTGTTGTTGAATGGTTTACTTCAATTTCGTCCAACTAAACACTGTATCTCGTCAAGTTGTAAGCTTTGGAAGTGTCTAGATGATTATTAACAAGTTGAGTTGTATAGATGATTTCCTACTTAAGGCCAAGTTTTGAGTGTTATGCCTTTTTTTTTTCTTCATCTCGTGTACGTATCTGCATTGGAGCTCAACTAAATCAAAAATCATGCTAGGCAGTAGGCATTGGGGGCAAAGAGTAACAACTTACTCGAGGAACTCGAATCTGAGAAGGACCATGCGCCCGAAAAATAAATTTTTGACATCAATTTAACGCAATTTCATTAAAAAAAATAACAGTGGATTGAGTGCGTTTTCTACTGCTTCTTTTCTTAATTTGGATTTTTTTATGTTTTTGTTAAATGGACGTTCGTCCTAACTCGCATCCCAAAAGTTAAATTTTGTAATATATTTTAATATACAAAAAAGACATAACAGGTTGATTGACCGCGTTTTCTACTGTTCTTTCCTTAATTTAGATTTTTTTAAAGTTTTTGTTAAATGGATGTTGGGCCTAACTCGCATCCCAAAAGCTAGCTCAAAGGGAAGAGAATTCCTAAGCAATGGATCTTCGGGATCTTGTACTAGTTCTATGCAGGACATTTCTTTTGTCATTTTTAAGTCGGAATAACATTTTGACCTGGTTTGTCCCTATCATTATTCTATAGAGAAATTGAGCGTCTAGACAGAGAAATTGAGCGTCAAGACAAAGAATGGGCTTATCTGGTTATTGAATTTGCTAAGAACGTGCCTTGTGAAATAGATAAGAAGGAGCTTGCTGAAATAGCTAAGAGAACCTGTTCTAAGGAAAACGGGAAGCAGGTTCAGGAAATAGTTAAGAAGCATTTTCCTGAAATAGCAGCAGCCATCATGAAATCGTAGGAGCACAATGATGTTCATCATCAGGTTCGATCTCCTCTCAATTCATTGATAACAAAATTCATGTGCCTTTCATTGTTTCCGTTCTGTACAATTTTTGTTATCAAAATTGTATTTTTATGATGTGTATACTGAGAGGAATTATGTGGTTGTGAGTTATGTTTTCCTTCATAGTTTCAGAAATAGTCACGTGAGAGCACAAACACACAAATGGATATTTATATTATGCATCTGGATATCTAGTTTTCCAAAATTTTAGTGGATAATATTCATAGTTGATCCATCTTTAAAAGTCAGTTATATAACCCATATCTAATAGGTCAAATTGGATAGTTACTTGTTTTTTAACTGTTGTGTCTAATGGGTCGGATTGAAAACTTCCTTTGAATGTTTGGTCAGTTTTCATGGTGATGACTCTCTAGTTTCTCTATTGAAACTAAGGCGTTCAGTTCCCTTCCTCTTAAAAAAGTGTATTTTTGTTTTCGGAGTTCATTAAATCAGCTGAAATAGAAACTTGATGTGCTTAACATTGTTCGCTAAATGTGGTTTGTTGGTTTAGGTGTTCGTCAGTTTGATGGTGACGACTCTCTGGTGTCTCTACGATTCTTGCTTAAATAGTTAAATTCCATATTTGTTCTAATGGTTGTAAACATATCAAGAATACTTGGGAGATTTTTGATATTTGTTGTTGGTAACTTGGTTTAATGCATACATAGGCCTATCTTTACTTATCTTTTTCCTTTGCTGAATTAACCCTATTACGAACGCCATTTTAAGCATGGTACTGATTTTCTTTTTGTTGCAATTTTCTGAAACAGGCAACTCGTGGAAATGAAGCCTGCAGAATTCATTTTTTTCATTGATAGTACATTAGTTAGAGCATTGAGGTAGCAGTAAAAGTTCAGGTTACTACTAAGTTTACTTCTCTTTGTGACTTGTTAACACTGCTACTCTACTAGTATGTAGTCTTACCAATGGTTAATGCAATCTTTGTGTGTTTTTTTCTTTATCTGTCGAATTCATTTAGTGAAAATTTTAGCTCTTATCACTGGGTGCAATAGCATAAATAGTTGTGGATGTTTGCTTCATGTCTTTGGCCCCTAGAGTGCACGCAAACCTAAAAAAATAATTATGTAATAACTTCTCTTGGCATTTGATTCTAATGTACTACACCAAGAAAAGATCAACATTAACAAAAAGAAAAGATATTGCAGTTTAATCCTTAATGTTATTACCAACAGCAACAATGCAGCTAATATAATGAGAAAACAATCTTCAATTTGAATTAAGCGCTCGTGCTAGACGCTTGACATCAATTAACCTTATGCCTCGTCGCGATCTACCTGAATATCAGTTAAAATTCAGCGCGATAGAAAGACAACGAATCAAAGAAAAGGACATGACAAGTATGCGTTAGAAACTTACTCTCTGTATTCACATTGTCCTTGGTCCCAATTTCTTCATTCTTACTTGAAAAAGAATTCAATAATCTAGCAAGATGTCTTATTTGATATAATAGCATAATGTTTTGACTTCTCTGTACTTTATACCTCATTTCTTCAACTCCTATTCAATCACAAAAGAACAAAAAAATGAATCTTTTCAATAAAGGGAGAAATGAAATAGTGATACCAGTGTTTTTCAAAGGTAAAAAGGGCATCCATCACATGATAGTCAGAGTTATCGGGGTACCTATGCTGGTGGAAGATAGTAGGTTGGTGTAAACAAGTTGGTCCAGACACCACCTAACCAAAAATGTACTTATACTTTATGTCGCTCAGACTCTCCAAAAATTTTTATGTACAAAATGTACCTTGGTGCAATGTACTTGATGCATCAGCTGGTTCTTGTTGTGATTTATACAATTCAGGATGAAATGTAGCATCAGATAACTGAACCCCAAGTCCAGAAACAGGGACAATTGCTTTATTTTCTTCTTCATTAGAGTATCCTGCAACGACATGAATCCAGGTTTTAAACTATATGCGTTCAGAATTTTATAACAACGTATTGATAACAGAGTGAATTATATAAATGAACAATAAACATCCTTGCGTTATCCAAAAAGTTGCAAGATTCATCCTTCTGTCTATTTTTAAAAAAACTCACGCCACCAAAAAAAAATATTCAAGTCGAATGAACATATATAACATGGTTAAGCTACTCAAGTCGGGTGATTTTTCAAATTTTTAGAAATTGAAGATTTAAATCATATTCATACAAAATATATTCAGATTTTAAATATTGTTTGTAAAAAGTATGGCCAAATACAATCCTAATTTCAAAAATTTCAAATAAAGTAATTATTTTCAAATAAAGTAATATTTTCAATTGATTTTTCTTTAAAAGTATTGGTTTTCTTAATTTTTCTTAAAAAATAAAGTGGCGACTATTCTCATTTAATTTTTTAAATAAACCAGAATGGCGGCATTGTTGAGTTTGTAATAATAAGCCCAAATATTTGAAGAACTTGTTGATGACCATTGAAATGTTGATGAAAATTTTGAATCAGTAGTTTCATCATGTTAAATTTTCTTTTAAATCAAAATCTTGGAAAGAAAGAAGAAAATCTTCATCATCCATTAGAGATTTCTTGTTTGAATTCTCTATCACAAAGAGAGAAAATGAAAACTTTTTTTTTTTATCCAGTGCTGTTGAATTTGTTTTGGGTTTATAAATATATTTTCTGAAGTTTGAGTAAGAGTGGGATTTAAAATTTTCCGCCTACCTTAATTATTTATTGAGGAATAATATGTTTTAATTATATTTTCCTTAAGTGGAAACATTGGAAATTTGTAGTAGGTAAAATAAAACCTTTTACTTGTTGGAAATTAATTTTTTGAGAAACTATATTATTAACATTAATTATGATGCAAGAATATAAATTTATACTAAGCAAAAAAGTTATTTATCTCAATGGATAAAAATTAAAGACAAACACAAAATACAAACAAAAATGCAGATAAATCCTTTATATCAAATCTTATCTATCCTGCTTAAAAAAATAAATTGTGAGCACATTTAAACAATACAACACAAACAGATTTTACCAATCTAGTAAAATTTGCAAAATAAAAATTACCAAACTATATAACAAAATAACACAAATATACCTAATTTTATGCATGTTAAAGAGACTTTCTAATCAAGACTCTGCTAAAAAAAAAAGTGAAGTAAATTTTTTATTAAGGAAAATTTAAATTAATTTGACACATTTTTAATTATATTTTTGCAAATTCAAATTTTAAATAATTGTTAAAAAAGAAATCACAATCAAACAAGGAGACTTTGTTTGTACGTAATGTAGTAGGAGTTGTACCTATAAATACCCAAATCTTCAATTTTTGCGGGTAAAGTTCGTTCCTTGGAAACCCTAACAATGGCGAAACCTCCTCCTCATGCCCCTTGTCCAGATTGCAATGGAGGAGATCCTCCTTGTCATCCTTGTTCAGATTGCGGTGGATGTATTCACAATCAATTCTTGGAATCTGAATTAGAAAAATGGTATCAGAATCGAGTTTTGGAAGATGAACTACATGCTCGTGACATTACAATAAAAGATCTTAGGTTCACAACAGAAATGCTTCGGCTTCAGAGGTACTGTGATTAATTTTTGTGAACTACTTGTTGTTGAATGTTTGGTTTACTTCAATTTCGTCCAACTAAACACTGTATCTCGTCAAGTTGTAAGCTTTGGAAGTGTCTAGATGATTTGTATAGATGATTTCCTACTTAAGGCCAAGTTTTGAGTGTTATGCCTTTTTTTTTTCTTCATCTCGCGTACGTATCTGCATTGGAGCTCAACTAAATCAAAAATCATGCTAGGCATTGGGGGCTAAGAGTAACTCCATACTCGAGGAACTCGAATCCGAGAAGGACCATGCGTCGAAAAATAAATTTTTGACATTAATTTTAAGCAATTTCATTAAAAAAATAATAGAAATGAACCTTGCCCCTAACTCGCATCCCACAAGCTATATTTTGTAATATATATATATTTATACGAAGGAGAAGGCAATATATTTTTTAATACGAAGGAGACCAGGCTCGAGGTCAATTTTACACAACATTAAAAATAACAGGTTGATTGAGTGTGTTTTCTACTGTTTTTTTCCTTAATTTAGATTTTTTAAAGTTTTTGTTAAATGGATGTTGGGCTTAACTCGCATCCCAAAAGCTAGCTCAAAGGGAAGAGAATTGCCTAAGCCATATTAGGATCCCGGGGAAGGACATTTCTTTTGTCATTTTTCAGTCGGAATAACATTTTGACCTGGTTTGTCCTTTATTCTATAGAGAAATTGAGCGTAAAGACAGAGAATTGGCTTATCTGGTTACTGAACTTGCTAAGTACATGCCTTGTGAAATAGACAAGAAGGAGCTTGCTGAAATAGCTAAAGGGCCGTTCACTAAGGAATACACGAAGCAGGTTGATGAAATAGTTAAGAAGCATTTTCCTGAATTAGCAAGCATCATGAAATCGTAGGAGCACAATGACGTTCATCATCAGGTTCGATCTTCCTCTCAATTCATTGATAACAAAATTCATGTGCCTTTCATTGTTTCGGTTCTGTACAATTTAGTTTATCAAGATTGTATTTTTATGATGTGTATACTGAGAGGAATTGTGTGGTTGTGAGTTATGTTTTCCTTTTAACTGCTAGATAATACATATTATTCATGGTTTCAGAAATAGTCACGTGAAAGCACAAACACACTAGTATTGAAATTGAAACTTGCTGTGCTTAGCGTTGTTTGCTAAATGTGGTGTGTTGGTCAGTTTGATGGTGACGACTCTCTGGTGTCTCTACGATTCTTGCTTAAATTCCATATTGTTCTAATGGTTGTAGACATATCAAGAATACTTGGAGATTTATAGGCCTATCTTTACTTATCTTTTTCCTTTGCTGAATTAGCCCTATTACGAACGCCATTTTAAGCATGGTACTGATTTTCTTTTTGTTGCAATTTTCTGAAACAGGCAACTCGTGGAAACGAAGCCTGCAGAATTCATTTTTTTCATTGATAGTACATTAGTTAGAGCATTGAGGTCGAAGTAAGAGTTTAGGAAGAACAATAAATTTACAACTTACTACTAAGTTTACTTCTCTTTGTGACTTGTAAAGATTACTACTCTAGTAGTAAGTTGTCTTACCAATGGTTAATGCAATCTTAGCTTTGTGTTTATTTCTTTATCTGTCGAATTCATTTAGTGCAAATTCTAGCTCTTTATCACTGGGTGCAATAGCATAAATAGTTGTGGATGTTTGCTTCATGTCTTTGGCCGGCTGCATGCAAACCTTAGAAAATAATTATGTGTTCACAAAGGAGGTACATAACTTCTCTTGGCATTTGATTCTAATGTAATATACCAAGAAAAGATACTGCAGTTTAATCCTTGATGTTATTACCAACAACAACAATGCAGCTAATATAATGAGAAAACAATCTTCAGTTTGAATTAAGCGCTCGTGCTAGACGCTTGACATCAATTAACCTTATGCCTCGCCGCGATCTACCTGAATATCAGTTAAAATTCAGCGCGATAGAAAGACAACGAATCAAAGAAAAGGACATGACAAGTATGTGTTAGAAACTTACTCTCTGTATTCACACTGTCCTTGGTCCCAATTTCTTCATTCTTACTTGAAAAAGAATTCAATAATCTAGCAAGATGTCTTATTTGATATAATGGCATAATGTTTTGACTTCTCTGTACTTTATACCTCATTTCTTCAACTCCTATTCAATCACAAAAGAAAGAAAAAATGAATCTTTTCAATAAAGGGAGTAATGAAAAAGTGTTACCAGTGTTTTTTAAAGGTAAAAAAGGCGACAACGTCCATGGGCATCACATGACACATATGCTGGTGGAAGATAGTAGGTATCAAGTGGAATAGTCGAGGTGTAAACAAGTTGGTCCTGACACCACCTAACCAAAAATGTACTTATACTTTTTGTTGCTCAGACTCTCCAAAATGTACTTATACTTTTTGTTGCTCAGACTCTCCAAAATGTTTTGGAGGACCTGTCAATATTTTTTGAAGAGTCTGAGCAACGTAACCAGTATAATAGTAGAGGCTCGCCTTCAAACACCACTGTTAATCTAAACTATACAAAATGTACCCTGGTGCAATGTACTTGATGCATCAGCTGGTTCTTGTTGTGATTTATACAATTCAGGATGAAATGTAGCATCAGATAACTGAACCCCAAGTCCAGAAACAGGGACAATTGCTTGATTTTCTTCTTCATTAGAGTATCCTGCAACGACATGAATCCAGGATTTAAACTATATGCGTTCAGAATTTTAGAACAACGTATTGATAACAGAGTGAATTTCATAACACGAATGAATACACGGTTAGTTCCTCCACTACCTGCACTAGTAGTACTGTCATAATTTTGACAAGTTGAAAATGAAGAATTGTTCAACACTTTTTGTCTTCTCAATTGATAGTTTCTTCGACGTCTAGCTAAGTGTTTTTCCCTCTCCTCATTGCTCATTGTTTGTCTTCTCAATCTATCACGAATTCTACGACGTTCTCTCTCCTTCTCTTTCTGTGCAATTCGCCAGTTCTTTACGACGTGCCATTCTTTAGTATCAGCTAACTCTTCAGTAGTAGCCATTGAACCAAATATTCTTCAAGTTTTTGATCCAGTCTTGCAACAGAACTATAATTTGTATGCTTCAATTAAAACCAAATTGACAATAACGAACAACAACATACCAGTGTAATCTCATAGGTGGGCTCTGGGGAGGGCAAAGTGTATGCACACCCTACTATATCGACTGAATCACTCTTTTCGTACCATCAAAGAATCACTCTTTTTACTCTAAATTCATTTAGATGTAAAATGAAATGCAAATTATGTGTAGCCTATGATTTTTTTTTACCGTGCTAATATCTTCCATAAGCAACAACAGCAACATAACACGTGACTTATAAAGATAGACATATTGTTTATAATAGACCCTCGACGATCAATAAGCTTCAAATAAAATAAACCCTATACAAAAGATGCAAATGCCAATACACAATCATAACTTTGAATGAGAAACCAAAACAAACAAACATAATTACCTTAATTTAAGTCCACAAGAACTATATATCTCAGGTCCTTAATCAACCATAACACACAAATCTTCATCCATTAAAAAACAAAGAAAAATATTGATTTAATTTCACAATAATCACGAAAAAAGAAAAAAAGAAAAACACTACTTGTTTATTTGAAAAACTCCCACAAAAATGAAAAATAAAAAATCAATTCACTGAAATCCCTACCTCTGTTGATGGTGACTGAGGGGAAGGATTTGTAAATTCAGATTCAAAGAATAGAAATTGAGCTGTTGCTTTTTTTCAATAGAAATAAAATACAATAAAAATCTTTTAAATGTTCTTTTTTGGTAATTGGTTAAGAGTTTGTAATTTTTACAAATTAGAATTTGACACCTGTACATAAAAGGAAGAAAAAAGATTTTGTTTTATTTTTTTTTCGAAATTTAGGGATGTTGATCCATTTGGCTTTAATTACTCAGTCCTCATCCAAATTTTACTGTACCATAAAAGTAAGGAGTGGAAAACATGAATCTTCATTGATCGTCTTGCTCTATTCAAGTACGATCGTGTTGCTCTATTCAAGTATGAGTCAAATATTATAAATAAGAAAAAAAGTACTAAAGTTCTTCATATTTTCTTTTTGATGTATGGAGCTAGAGTTCGATTCATGTTTTATGCAAACCTCTAACCTTACTACATCCAATTTTTTCACATAGTAAGTAGTTGAGAACTAAAGATTTGATAGGAAGGACACGAAGTATCGTATTATTCATTTCATTCCTGCCTTTAAGTGGTTGTACATAAGCTTCGGTTAACCAAATATGAACCCGTAACAAAAATGTACAACTAAAAAAGAGCATCCAAATACAAAGGGAAATGACAATAACCAAATGTTGAGACATATAGTCTATTTCAAACTCACTATATTCTTCCCTATGCTGGTATGTAAAAACCTAAACATTTCATACTCCGAGCTCTGTATGTAAGAAACGAAACATTTCATACTCCGAGCTCTGTATGTAAGAAACGAAAAGGGTTAAAAGATAAAACGCCGAGATCATAGGGCAAAAAAAATGTCATCTCCAAGCAGATGAAGTTGCTAAAGCTCTATTTTTCCATCCAAGATAGAGTGCTCCTTCGCTTTCTGCATACCGATAATTTGGGTTGTACTCTTTCAACATGTCTTTGATGGTCTCACCAACTGATGGACTCAATTGGCATGGGGTGAATCCAGCCATCATAAGTCTTAACCTCCATTTTCCGAAAAGTTCATGTCTTTCCACTCTATCAGCTCCCTCACATGCTATTATGTTCACAACGTCTCGTGCCACACAATGCTCCTCTGCACTGATCCTCTCCTTGTCGTCCCTAGGACGAGCTGCATCAATTGACTCGAACATTGCTGTATAATAATCAAGAGTTTCACGGAACCTTGGAAGGAAAGGGGCAGTGTTGGTGTTTGATTCTTGTTCAACTAAGGTCACAATTTTGGGGGATAAACTCTTAACTAGTCTTAATAGGCGGTCACGATGATTGATAGTGCTTACACTCTCGTCTGGCATGTGGTGCAGCATATAAGGGAAGTTTACTGCCAGAGCTTCTCCATGTTTAACCCGAAGGTTCTCTAGTTGGACCTCACAGCCTGATAGTTCAGCACCATGGAATTCAAAAGGCACTCCACATGATTTGGCAACTTCTGCTAGCCTTTCGCCTACTAGCTGAAGACCTCCACCCCGAGCATAAGCTGATTCGTCATCATCAACACCTGTGATGCGTACAAATGGGGGTCCACCAGGACGACGAGCAAGATCGTGGAGGAGGAACATCCACTGACTTCCCTGTGCAATCTGAAAATCAATGATATGGATTCTGTTCTCATTCATCATGGCTTCTCTGATGACGACATTCGCAGACATATAAGCAAATTTGTAGTATGGGCACATGTTAAAGATGACTTGCATGTAAGACAATAATTCCGAGCCAGTTAGTTCTTTGCACTTCAATTTTTTGTATATGATGCTTCCTGATGATAGTAGTCGTGCTCTAATCCCTTCCAACACGTATGCACCCAACCGTTCCATCGGTTCCCCAGACACTGACACCCGTTGCTCCAAAGCTCTCATAAGAGCTTCAGCAGTTGAGATATCAGCATCTGACACTGCTTCAGCGCAGGCATCGAGCAACTCTTTCAAGTTCAAGCCAGGGGCCATGTCCAACACTCGGTTCCACCTTGTTACGGAAGCCGGTTTTGAGACCATATCGTTCAAGGAGCAACTGCAGCTGTCGTCAGTATCAGATTCAGGCCCCAGTAATTTATTCTCCAGCTCCCGAAGCACATGTCTCAAGTCACAATCATCAATTCCTGAACAGCCACTCAAAGGCGAACCACAAGTGTTATCAGATGAGTGATGCAGATCAGACATGTATGACTGTGAACATTGAGGAGAGAAGGGACTCCTGTTGGAAGACACACTCAAGGCAGGAGGTGAATCATTGACAACATAGTCAGTAGCTGGTGACGAGTCCAGAGTGAAGAATTGTTCGTCTTGTGCCTGAAAAGAGAACTGCATCCCTGAGCTACGACTATCCTTACAACTGTTCTTAAGAACATTGTAAGGGGCGTAATATTGCTCAGCTTGCTGCATTTGCTGATTGTACAATCCGTGGACACTTCCAGACAATTGTGTTCTCTGGGAAAATGACTAGCTAAGATGAAGTAGAGTGATGTCAAGCAACCGTTGCAGACAAAAGCTATCTTAGATCTCAGCAAATCTTTCTCGACTAAAAGTAGTCACAACATCTCAATTCTTTCAGCATCGTGTGACTATGTCAACTCGAAAGAACTAGAGAAGGATTCGCAACTCCAATGACAACTGACAGAACCTGCCAAGAATGAAAATCACGATCAGTATGCTGGCATAACTAAAATTCAGAAAAGTGATAGTCATGATCACAAGAGATTGTTACAAAAGCATAAAGAAGCTAACTTACAGAACAAAAGAAGCAGAGTTGATCAGTTGAAGCACATTACGACTAATAAATGATGCTCCTAAGCTAAACATAGATGGTTATGATTTCACGGGTTAATTTTGCCATTGATAAACTGAAAAACTAACCATTTACTAAAGAATTGACTCACTAGAGGTATAACTTAGCATATACATCAATCTTTTGAAAAATCAAGGAAACTAAGAAAATGAAAAAGCATAGAGACCTAAAACAAACACAAAAGAAAGTAAAAAAATTACAATCAAAAGACAAATCTTCTTACCCAACAACATAAAAATCAAAACTTTATACAAAACAAATTGAAAAATCACTACTTATACCCCCACCCACCCAAAAAGAAGATTAGGAATTGTAAATAATCTCTTACACAACATAAAAATCAAAACTTTATGCAAAAGGAGATAAGGAAATTGCATATTAACTGCATACATAAACTCAAAATTTCATCTTAAGATGCTTTCAAGATCAACACCAAAACCTTAAACCATAAACTAAACAAAGTCAATAATTTGCATTAATTAAGGAACTCCTCAAGACTAACCTAAACTCAAAAGAAAAAAAAAGAAATGCAAATAATGTCTTAACTTTATATAAAACATATAGAAAAATCACTAGTTATATGCCCCCAACAACATACACATCAAAACTTCATACAAAAAAAAAAAAAAAAAACTAAAAGAATTGCAAATAATCTCTTACCCAACAACATAAAAATCACAACTTTATACTCTAATCACCCAAAAAAAAAAAGGAAAAAAATGAGAGAAGGTAATTGCATATAAACAGAAGAATATAATTCATCTTAAGATACTTTCAAGATCAACCATAAACTAAACAAAATCAAGAATTAACATTAACTAATGAAACTAGTAGTACTAATTACCAAAAAATGAAAAAGAAAAAACAATAAACAAAAAGAACAAACCTTGAAAATTAAGAGGATGTAATATTTGTTTTTTTGTGATGAATTGAGACTTTTTTGTTCAAAGAGCACCTCTGATGCCTATTGTTGATTATTGAAAACAAAGAATGAAGTGTTAGGTACTCCTAATAAACCCTTTATTATATAGTCAAAACATTAGAAAATTAGACAAATAAAATGCCCTCATTTCTTGGGAATAACTACCTCCAATGCCACTTCCATTAATATATGTAAGACCAAAATAACTATTTTAATGGGTCCACATGTTCATTATATTTTGGTGATTGATATTTGTATTGAAATTCATAATTGCTAATAAAGATATTTTCATATTAGGATGTGATAATAAAACTTCTACTAATTAAAAAAAAAAACTAAAAGAATTGCAAATAATCTCTTACCCAACAACATAAAAATCACAACTTTATACTCTAATCACCCCAAAAAAAAAGGAAAAAAATGAGAGAAGGTAATTGCATATAAACAGAAGAATATAATTCATCTTAAGATACTTTCAAGATCAACCATAAACTAAACAAAATCAAGAATTAACATTAACTAATGAAACTAGTAGTACTAATTACCAAAAAATGAAAAAGAAAAAACAATAAACAAAAAGAACAAACATTGAAAATTAAGAGGATGTAATATTTGTTTTTTTGTGATGAATTGAGACTTTTTTGTTCAAAGAGCACCTCTGATGTCTATTGTTGATTGTTGAAAACAAAGAATGAAGTGTTAGGTACTCCTAATAAACCCTTTATTATATAGTCAAAACATTAGAAATTAGACAAATAAAATGCCCTCATTTCTTGGGAATAACTGCCTCCAATGCCACTTCCATTAATATATGTAAGACCAAAATAACTATTTTAATGGGACCACATGTTCATTATATTTTGGTGATCGATATTTATATTGAAATTCATAATTGCTAATAAAGATATTTCATGTTAGGATGTGATAACAAAACTTCTACTAATTAAAAATAAATTAAAAAAATCATTCATTACGCATATTTTTTGACGATGTTCTACCTACTATATATTTAATTACACATGTTTCCTGTTTTTTTTGGGTTAAGGAAGAATATTCATATTCTCTCCGCGGTGAATTACGCGAACTCAAGTGAGTATTTGTTGACTTAACATGTTTTAACACTAAGGGACCGTTTGGTTACTGTATAAGTTGTATTTTATTTATGTATAAAAAGTTGCATTATTTTTATTATGTTTGGTAGAAATTTTGTTTTAGGCGGAAAAGTCAACATAATTTATACCATGTTTGGTTGGTAGAATTCTAAATATTATATAAAAGTTATTCATGTATTAATTTTATATGGTGTTTGGTTGTGTTTTTTGTAGTCCTACATAATTAATACCAACATAACTTATGATGGAATCTATGTATAAGTTATGCAGGGTAGAAGGTGGAATAAGTTATGCAAATATTAGTTATAAATGTATTAAAATAGTAAATTACACATTTACCCTTATTGATTTATTTTTAATTATTTTCATTGAAAATGTTATCCAACTATGCTATTTTCCTAACTTTTTTTTAATACACGAACAACTTTTTTTTTTTCTGTTTTCATTTGAAATCCAAATGTAATATTTTATTAATATTACAAATTTGTATATAGCGTTATATATTATTAAATATATTCCACTTCTTTAATTAACATGTATTATTATTTTGTTTAGGACGTGAATTTATACATAATTCATTTATTTGGTATATTAAAACTGTATAAACAATATATACAACATATTGATAGAATATTTACATTATATAAAATAGGATATTATAATGTACTTGAAATATACTAATCGTATTTTATTTTTATAAGTTATAAACATAAAAAAATAACAAAATGAAAAAATAGCATTCCCAATTAAGTATAGAGGGAGATTTTTTTTTCTTTACTTTTTATTCAAAAAGAGGGAGAATTTATACTATTTGCTTACTTATTTATTTGTAAGTAAAGTAATATATATTAATTTACAACAAATTCAATATTTATTAGTTAATAATATATGCATTGTGATCTCTACATAACTAATACTTGCATAATTAAACTTTGCATAACTAAATCCTACATAACTTATACCTGCATAACTAATACCTGTATAATTAAACTCTGCATAACAAATACATGCATAACTAAACTCTGCATAACTAATACCTGCATAACTAAACCCTACATAACTAATACATGCATAACTCTAACTAGTAACTAAACGGCCCCTAATAGAATAATATTTCTGAAAATGATTATTTTTTTTGTTAAAATAAGTGTAGTTTATGCGAAAAATTATATTTCATGACGTTGAAGATACATTCATTTATTATACTGTGAAAAATTATTTTCATTTAATGTTTATATTAGAACCAACTAATGTAGGAAACACGTCATTCATAAATATTATACTTGTTGCTTAATCATGGTTAATTAGGTAATTTATGTTTTTACTCTAATTTTAATTGTTTAAGTTACTTTTAAATATTAAGTGTGAATAATTTCTTCTTCATTATATGAATTACTAGTGAATTTAGAATATAGATGTGATTACATGGCTTAGCAAAGGATTATGTCATAAATCACGCTATACACTGATTGATTCAAAGTCAAATGGTTCAAATTATAAGTTGTTAAAGATCAAATTGTTTTAAATTTATTCCAACTTAAATTGACTATAAACAATGTGTTTTTGGTCATAATTTTGACCTTGAGATGCTATTTTCACATTACTTCTAAGTTCTATCCGTATCAGTACTTGAAAGTAAAATTCACATGAAGAATAAGTAAAAATAAAATAGATTGAGGTGAAAAGAGATATTTTAAACAAGAAAATATGTTATCATTAAAAGATAAAATATTTTTAAAATCTTCAACAAGCACTAGAGATAAAGATAATCCAACTAGTATGAAAATCTTCTACAAGTTTTAAAGTCTCAAATCACTCTAATTAACGAGACAAAAATTATAAAAATGAAAGATCAAAAACACATTTACAGTATTTTTTTTTATTTGAATTTCATATCTGATACAACTAAACTATTAGGTATATGCGTTTTTTACTTGAACTATCACAAACTATATATCAGGAATACTCTAACTTTGTTGTATAACATTGTTGATCAATTACCATCATTCAAGTAAGAAAAGTGAATAACTGATAGTTAATGTGCTTTGATAAATATGTGGTAATAGTTGAGATATAAAACTCGACAAATCGAGATATTCTAGGTGTGGAGATGGCAATTTGAGTAAATAAGAGATGCAATGAAGGGCAATAAGTTGTGGGGCAAGAAGACCGCGTTTGGTTTGACATTTGTTTATTCCTGGAAGGTGTCTATTTCCCATATGTTTTTCAAGTTTTAATTAATTCCACAAAATTTATTATTCAATTTTGTTTGTTTTGGAGAAACATTAGACTATTGCGATATTTAATGATTCAATTATTGGAAATTAAAATCTCAAACACATTTATAAAATATATCAGCAGTAAATAATTAGACCTGATTTTAATTTGATGTTCATATAATAATATACATTTAGATATGGTACAAATCAAATTGTTATCCTGAGATTAAGATACGATGAATTTTTACTATTTATTTAACGATGAGATGAAGCAATTTTTTGTACGGTTAATTTGTGATTATGATGACACGTCCTATTCCTGTATGATAAAGTCAAAATATTTGACTATATATATTAATAAATATCTCTGGATTTGAAATGTATATAATAAAAATGTACTAATATTCTGTACAAATTTAAAACTAGTTTAGTAGTTTGGAGAAAAATGTTTCTAAAAAGGACGATCATAAATAAATGCAAGTGATAAATTATATATTTCTAGAAGAGTGATTTTCCAAATTGGAGTAAATTAAAGTTTGATTTCAAGATAATTTTTGCCTTATTATTTCCATCCTTGTAAAGTTGTAATTGTTGAAAATAAATTTTATATATAGCCTATTCTTTAGCCTTTTTTTTCTCATATAATTATTGGATATTTGAAAGATCGCTCGATTAATTCATATTTGTATCATATAGCGTTATAAAAAGAATAATTTTTGTTTTATATTGGTAAGTTTTTTTCATTCACAAAATTCATATCCGATATTAAGAGTGAAAGAATTTCATTCATTTTATTTGAATAAAGAATGTTTTAGCCTAAGTCTATACTTATCAAACCCATAGTATTAGTATATCTATTATATTTTTTGATCTTCACTCATTGTTTGATACCTACCTTATAATTAGAGTAATTCAAATTCATACCAAAAAGTCCATTTTGGAGGAGCAATATATTTTCTATCAAAAATAATTTTATATTTAAAACTCGAAACCTCTTATTAATACATGATAAATATACTTGACACAAAACAAGCTAGTAGGCAAAAAAGATTTCATCCATATATTTGTGGATAAAAAGAGGCAATGGAGTTGAAGATAAAGAATTCTTATCTTATCGTAAATGTTTAGACGGTGCACAAAGTTGTGACTAATTACTAATTAAAGTTGATATAATGATCATCATTATATAAAGAAGGTAAGTTCAAGAAAGAATAAAACAAAAGGAGAATCTTGCTTTTTTTCTTTTCTTTTAGTTTATTAACACATAAAGTAGATTTCATTATACAGATCTTGAAAATGAATTTAATTAAGTTATATTCATGATCAATATATTAAAATTTTATATTATAAGTTTTTTTTTAATTTATTATATTTGATAGCTTATCTTTTTTAAAAGATTATAAATATCATTATTTTAAAAGTATTTTAATTTGTATGAATATTTTTGGAACGAAAAAACCTTGACTTTAGGTTAAATCTCATTATTCACGCAATTCTCATGTTTATCGATTACACATTTAGTCAGCGAAATACCGAATGAAACAAATGTACTAAACCATAACCATGTGCAATAAAAAAGTAACTAGGAATTTAACTAGTATAAGATAAAAAAGAAATTGATTTTGTTCTACCTTTTACTATATTAATTCCTCTTGTCTCCAATTTGAATAAAATGAAATCAAACAATTTAGATGTGTGTAGTTGGAAATATAGACTAAGGGAACAACTTGACAAACAAACTTCTCC